GAACTACGTTGCATGACTACGAACAGTCACATCTTTATGAACGCCAAATCCAAAATAGAGTTTTGTGAGGTGTACATGTTATGTAAGAACTAAAAAATAGACAAGAAACAAACTAACTAACTAACTAACTACATGGAACTGAGGGTTTCTCGAGAAGCCGCCAGTTAAGCAGCTAACTCAAGAACTTCACAACATCTTATGGAACCCGAAGGCACGTCACCGTATTTACATGAGCGTTCCACTGGTCCCTATCCCGAGCCAGATGAATCCAATCCATACTATTCCATCCGATTTCTCCAAGATCCATTTTAATATTGCTACCAACCAANATGAATCCAATCCATACCATTCCATCCTATTTCTCCAAGATCAATTTTACTATTGCCCACCCACCTACGTCTTGGTCTTCTTAGTGGTCACTTTCCTTCTGGCTTTTCCACCAATATCCATGTAAAAGAACAATTTTTCTATTCATCAAGGTTTGTCTCACAGTGAAGATGGCGTTTCGGACATTTTGGTTTTGAAAAGAATGATGGTCAGATATTTATAAAAAAAATTTTAACTGAAATTGCATCTGCTCCATGTACAATCAGAGAGCAGTACAGTTACACGAAATTATACTACTTTGACTGCTTCAGTCGAAATAAGTTGTATGTTATAGTGTCAGAATGAACTGAAGGATTAGTATGCAGAAGTTTCGTTGTTTGTCAGAGTAATTTTTGAGTAGCTTCTCCTGCAGGAAATGCATACTCGAGAGTCAGACTACCCAGTAAACAAGCTAAAATTCCGGATTTGAAAAGTAAATCTATGAGTATATTCGTCTAGAACAACAGCGCTTCTATGGCGATTTCTTACAATGACCCAGAGCTTCTGGTGTTCAGGATGAATCTGACCAGTGCCATAAGACTTTATTCTACCGAGTGAATTATTATACGTATTTCTTAAAATTTTCTTGTTAATAATAACATTTTAGAATTTTTTTTTACTATTTACAATTTTTGTTATCTGTGCCTCACATTACAAAATGCTTTTAGCTTTCATTAATTTTCCGCAATAGGCATAAATCTGGTTTATTGTCGAAAGAAACCTCAGTCCACTGAACTTGTTGAATTTATTCTGGGTTATAAATTTTTTTTGTGGGGGTTTCAGGAACATCTTATATTGTATAAAGCAAAGCGCTACATGACAGAAAAGTATTAAATAATATACTCGTAAGAATGGAGATATACATATGAATTATTTCATTATGATCTCGAAAACGCAAAAAATTACTAAGGTCCCTTTCTTCAGTGAAACATCAAAATATATGTATCCTTCCAAAACTTCTCAAATTTCCGAGAATGTATATTTCTGACGAAATTTCTTCTTATAAGAAAAAACTGCGCGTCCTCACATACTTTTCTTCAATACATTTTATGTTCCCAGTTCTATAATGATGTTCATAATCCCAGCAATTTCCCGTTTAATTTTCGACGGGCTTAGTGTTAGTATTGTATATAATGATCTCTTAGAGTTATATTTTAAGGAGTGACGGTAGATCTGTTTCGGCCGAAACTGAATTCTCCCGAGAGTATTTGGCGCAGACCTACCTACACTCTGAGTGTAGTGGCACTGTGGTAGGTTGTTCATACCAAGTTTCATGAAACTCCGTTATTTGCATCCAGGCTTACTGAAAGGAGACAGACACAGGGTCTGAGGCAAAGGAAAATAAGTATTTCACGTAAAGATATAAACCTACATTTCTTTGAAAAAAAACAGTCTATTATACAATATTGTGACCTGCTGCCTGAAAGCCGGACTATAAGACGTCCATCACTAGTCAACGGCTAAAAATTCCTAGGCAGCTATGCCTAGGAAACCGTTGCCCCGAAGATGAAAGTGTAACGGTAGGGTTTCCACCTTTACAAACGAATTGTTTGAGGCAGACAAATATTCCCGCGGCAACAAGAGATTCGTGGCATAGCAGCAGGCGAAATTAACCCTTTGACAAGGTGTTCTCTATTCAGTCCAAGTGCAAGATATTACAGTTCGTATCCGACAAGAGACCAGTTAGTTCGTATCCTACGAGAGCTAAGGACAGTTGAGTTCCGAGCAGAGCAGAAGACACTTCACAGAGAGTAGCGGTGCGAGAAGTAACATGGAAGAGGAAACGTCTGACGACGTTATAAGTGTGAATAATTGTATTTGAGAGTGCAACGAGTAATCGTCCAATGAACATTCGTCAAAATCCGAAACCCCATGTAAATTTTCTTTTCGCGTTGCATAGGAAGCACGTGACAATATATTTGCCCTTTCAGATTAATGTGACATTGCCTGCCAGCCGGCCTTGAGAGCAACGAGTGTTTGATGAGCACTGTTATGTACCCTTTCTAGATAACATTAGAGCCAGAAGAGATAGCGAGGCGATAGGAACAGTCACTGGGAAGCAAATTTACACGTACAGCATCCAGCAGAGCGAAAGCACGTTCTGTTCAACGTTTGATTATTCTACGTTGACGGGTAAGTCAGGACAGAAGCTTAAGCTTATTAAGGTCGCCATTGTAGTGGTTTTCAAACTGTGGTGCGCTCACCATCATGAACACGAGATTACTACTGGTAGTATGACATCTGTTAAAGTTGTCTCTGTACTTAATTTTTTTTATTCGCTTAGTGGTGGGTGGAGTCCAACTGGGTCCACTCGGCACGGCGGCAACTGATGGGCCTATTGTAGACTGCCCCGGGTGATTATGATGATGGAGAATTTCGTGGAATGAAGATTGGCAGGGGAAACCGAAGTACTCGGAGAAAACCCGCCCCAGCGCCAATTTGTCCACCACAAATCCCACTTGACCAGACCCGGGATCGAATCCGGGCCGCCGCGGTGGGAAGCCAGCGACTAACCGCTTGAGCTATAGCTCGGCCTTGTCTCTGCACTTAAGTAATTAAACACTACGCCATGAAGGCGTATGGGAGAGTGGATGTACATATCCACGTATTCTTTATCTCGACGCTAGTTGGAGGTGAGTGGTCAGCTTCACACTTCGGCCGATTTACCGGAGGGGAAATTGTCCCCCGTATCCATAGGGACAGTAGTAAATGCTTTGGTTTCTCGATAACTGGTAGACTCTATAACGTGACGATTTGTGTTTGTAAGTTGACAAGTCATGAACACACCAACTAAAAGGCAGTGAAGATCTAATCCTATTGTACACGTCACTAACTGTTAGTATTTTAATGATAATTTCTAATGTTGCTACTTTATTATGTTTACAAGCTGAAGTACTCATTCTTCGCCATCAGTCCGCTGCACAAAGCAGTGAATATTATAAACTGGTCAACGCGAATATAGATCTGATCTATATTCATAAGATCATCTTGATAATAAGCAATCTCGTAATTTCAGTTCATTTCACGGACACTTTCAGTAACTATTTTCTTCTATGTCGATTTGAACTTACATTAATATGATTTACATAACTTCCATTTTGGTAAATGCGAACTGTAATCCATGAAACTTTTAACTTTGTTTTATGTTGCTTGAAGAAATTAACTGTGTATCATACCTACGGTTCACCTCCCAGAAAAATGTGATCTAGTTTTCGTATGGGTACTGTTAATCGATTAACATTTTATGCCTATCTTAGACATAATAAGTTCCTACTTTATATTTAATAATAGTATTACTCTTTCCCATGAATTAGAAATAGTTGCCACTTTATATCAATATAAATATCATTTCAGAGATCCAAAAAGTACAAAAATATAAAGAAGTTTCTCTAATTATATTTTGCTGCTATTTGTGCCTAGAATATTCAGCTTTGTCAAGAAGTGAAATTCTTCAGCTAATACCGTACAGAAGTGCAAATTCGTGGGTAGTTGGATTGTTTAATTACGCAGAAACTAGGGAAAACGGAGAAAGATTCAATGCAGCGCCAGTTTTGAAAACAATTTTAAAACAGCAAACCGAATATTGGAAGAAACTGTGAGAAAAGACTGCCCTTCGCACTGAAAATTGCAGATAAGTGACAGTATTTAAGATTCATTTTCTTTGTACGTGAGGTGTGATTCGTACTTCTAAATGTGTGAAATTAAATAATATGTCTATCTCATATCCATGATTAATATTTATTTATAATTATCTTTATTTACTTATGGTTTAGGTTCTTACCATCATATTTACAAATTATATTTGGGGTTAGTAGAAATTCTTGCAGTACAAAATGGCTCAGTGTCCAAACTAAATTGGGAGACAATGTTCTAGGCAGCACAACTGTTAACCGAATTTTCGGCTCTTCCGCTTGAGTTCGCCTTTGTAACAAGGAGTCTTCATTTTTCTGAACACGCAAGCACGCCTTTTTTAAAGAACACGACCAACAACAAAACCCCTTTAACCGACACGTAATGGTCACTGTACTGTAAAAAGCAAACTCCTATTTTTCCTACTTTCCAATAACACGAGTCCCAAAAGGGAAAAGGTATGCCCACACAAGTTTCTTACTATTTACCGCTTTTCCGATACATGATAATCGCTTGTATTACACTTTATGTACTCGTAGATGCCTAGCAACGAAACAGATTCATGAGCTACACAGGGTCAAATTTATAAGGTGCCCAAAAGCTAGAATGAGCAAGACAAAGAAAAACACAATTCGATATATTTTAATGGGATATACAATAAATATGCCATTCCTATACTAGCCTATGTTATGTGATATAAACTACTGATTTCAATTACTTTCTTGCAGAAATACTGCGTTTCCAGAACATGGAGGCTCTCATCTTCGATTCCTGGTGGGGCATTAGCACACTTCTGCTTGGTGGAGTAGGTTTGGTGTACCTGTACCTCACACGCACTCACGATTACTGGCGGAAAAGAGGCGTTCCGTACGTGAAGCCTCTCCCTGTTTTCGGGAACCTCAAGGATGCATTGTTGGTTAGGAAAACCTTGGGCGAAACATACCAGGATCTTTACTGGTAAGATCTGTCAGTATTAGGCCTATTAGAGGGATAAAATNTCAGTGCTGGGCAAAATGTCAATTGGTGAAAACTACCAAGATATCTACCGGTAAGCAACGCATGAGACTGATCTTGCGTTCTGAAATTCTGTGATGAGCCGTGTCAGCGCAGTCGGAATAGTGGCTGACTACGGGCTGAACTATCGAGGGGTCGGAGCTCGAGTCTCGTAGGGTCAAGATCTTTCTCATCTCCACGTCGTCCAGGCCGGCTCTGGGGCTCGCCCATCCTCCTATCCAATGGGCATCAAGGACTCTTTCCCCGGGGGTAAAGCGACAGGAGCCTGAAGCTGATTACTCACCTCCAGCTAGTGCCGACGTCAGGAAAATGTGGATCTATATATCCATTCCCCCGTACTCGTTCATGGCGTATTGCTTAATTAGTTATGCAGAGGGATAACTTCACTTTTACCTGGGAAACTACTCCAAACAAATAACACAAACAGTCTCGATAATTCAATTCAATTCAGGTTTATTTACGTGCAATAACTTAATAGCACAGTGGCCAATTACAAAGTTAGCACGAGTATATAAAGATATAGAAAAATAATTAAACACAATATAAATATGACAGAAATAAATCTGTGGGCATAAATCTAAAGAAGACTTAAATACATTAATGAATTATGAATTAATAATAATAACAATATAGTTCTGTATTTATTTACGCGCTTATTGAACAGTCCTAAGGCCAACTATTAAGTAAGAACGGAGAATGAGACAATCAAAGCAAGCGTATACACACAAACGGATGTCTTAAGGAAAGAATTTACTGAAATTTCTGTTGCACCAGTGGACACTGAACTCCACATATTCAAGTCTATACTGGGGGGATGAGAAGGAGAAAATTACACTGCAATGTAGGCCCAATATCTTAATGTAACGAGAAAATATACAGTTTATATTATTATGGAATTCGACACTAGAATTCAGGAACGCTTCGAGGTATTTAATATAGTCGCTAGGGGTTATAGAAAATCTAAAAGTTTATGCCAGTAGATAAACATGCAAAATTTCCTTGATAAGAATGTACCTAACGTTGAGTTTCATACAGTTAGCAGTGCACCAACCTCTTACAACGTCAAAATCAGACAGCAGTAGATACAATCGGTAGAAGAGCTAATGAAAAGGCGAATTTTGATATCATCAGCAAAATCCAGACACTCAATGTAGTTAATAGCATCACATAAGTCATTAATACACACACTGAAAATACATTTACCAGAAGAGATTTTTAGGAACACCGAAAATATTTCAAAAGGCTATGAAAGCGTTCCAGAAACACGGACCAAGGATTATCTGAAGAATGACGTCTTCTGGGAAGTGGCGCGTTGTAGATATTGTATAAACCGATGTTTCGGAAGAACGTATCGTCTCCATCTTCAAGGTAGAAGAAAAAAGAAAAATCCGCAAGCGATGAACCAGCGTAAGCATGTGGCTGCAGACTAATTTCTTTTCTTTTAATGCTAGTTGGGTGGGACTAAGTCCCTTGTACTACGGCCACTTCTGGCCAATTGTACCAGCCCCAGATGATAGGTGAGGGTGATTGTGGAGCAATTGGTGGAATAAAGATTGGCAGGGGAAACCGAAGTACTCGGAGAAAACCTGCCACAGCGCCACTTTGTCCACCACAAATCCCACTTGACCAGACCCGGGATCGAACCCGGGCCGCTGCGGTGGGAAGCCAGCGACTAACCGCTTGAGCTATGGTGCGGCCTGGCTGCAGACTAAGTGACCAGTCGAAAACACCAAGCTATATAAGAACAGGAAGGGAGGGAGAGTAGGCCACATGGAAAACGAAGAGAGAAGATAGGGGAGGGGCCTGTGGAGATGCGCCAGCAGACAGTAAGCCAGGGACGGTAAGGGATCGTGTCGGGGGGAAAAGGCAGGGTTACTCTTAAGATGAAGGCGATACGTTCCTCCGAAACGTCGGTTTATACAATATCTACGCGGCGCCACATCCCACAAGACGGCATTCTTCATAGTCACCGCCGTGTAAACCTCATATCTTACAAGGATTATCTGTTAGGTAACTACAAAACCAGTCAACACAACCACCAGAAAATACAAACGCACTAATCCTATGAAGAAGCAAAGCGTGGGGACTGATGCCAAATTCACTGCGAAGATCAAAATAAATGACAATATCTTGACGTCGAGAGCCGGCTAAAGGGGCCATGAAATTAAGATAAGGTGCCAAACCGGCGAAGAAATATTTCGATTTAGTGAAACCTAGCTGCTAGGAGATTAAGTTAAACTTACGGTAATGTCTAACACAGACATGGGCAATTAATTAAAAATAATTAAAAAAGAGGTTAAAAATGGGGATGGATGTATAATTGTTAATGGGGCACTACTACATTTTTTAAAAACAGAAACAATTTCCACTCGCTTTTGTAAAGTAAGAAAATATATGTGAGATAAACTTACATAAAGAACGCGTTTCGGAACGGAGCAATGATGTCAGAACAATCATTAATAAGAAAGTCGGGTGTGTCATCAACCTGAACAGATTTCGATGGTCTCAGAATTTAAGGATTTCAGAAACACCTGAATCGGAAATAGGAGCTAATGATAAAAATTCAGGTGAACAAGGGAGGAAGAGGCATGCGCATGGAAGGACTGATGAAAAGCATCAGCCAGATTCGAACTAGTCCCCTCGGGAACACAACGTCGGAAAGAGGCGTTACCGTTTTAGACAACTTGTTCGATTACTTAAGGTCTGACAGCTGTAGGACCGCCTCTGTGGTCTAGTGGTCAGAGTTCCTTGCTGCAGATCCTGAGGTCCCGGGTCCGATTCCCGGCGCTACCATATTTTCTGAGAAGTAGTGGGTCTGGAACTGGGTTCACCCAGTTTCGTGAGGATAATTGAGGAGCTATTTCATGGAAATAGAGGCTACGATCGAGAAAACGGAAATTAACGGCCGTGGGGATTGGTTGCGTTGATCACGCGACACACTCTATCTTCTAAAATTGGCACTAACTTTGCCGACAAGCGGCGGTCGCTCGGTCGGTATAGTTCTCTTGCGGACCAATAAACCACACAGTGACAGATGTAGAGTAGGGGCCACATAATCTTCCTGAGGTCCTAGTTCACCGCCCGTGTTACACAGTACATCGTCGAGTGATGTAGTAATTAATGAATAATGAATGGGAAAATGTGTGGAAGGAAGCGGTGGCTACTTAGTCTGAGAACTATCATGACATTTGTCTGGAAGATCTGAGAAAGACTACCTGAAGCTCACTCAGGAAAGCTTGTCTTTGGAGCAGGAAAGTCGGTGAGAGAAATTGGTAGTTCGATATACACGTATACTCGTGACGAAATAACGCGACGCTGCGAACTTGTTGTTTACAATTTCAATCATGCCTAATCTTCACTAAACACTGTTATGATGAAAAAAAAATCAGATTCATACTAGAGGAATAAAAGGAGGCGGGGTAGGATGTGGTTAGGAGCGAAAAGGATTCATACAAGGTTTTAGTCTGAAACCCTGAAAGAAAGAAACTTGTACGGAAACCTAGGTTAGGTATGAGGTAATATTAAAATGGATCTTGAAGAAACAGAGACACAGACGATGTGAACATGAGGATAATATTATAATAGACTCTAAAGCAGCCGTGTAAAACTTGCGGCCCGCGGGCCGCATGCGGTCCCCATAGCCACAAAGTGCGGCCACTCAACTTTTAGAGCTAATTGATATTAAAATCAATATTAAAATTTTAGTAGAAATATTTTTTGTAAAGACAATTTTCCAACAAACCAGAATACAGGAAGTCTCACGCAGACATAAAATAGCAGGCTGCAGGAAAAGTGATTCTGAGAATTGCAGAAGGGTTTGTCCAACTAACGGTTTGTAAAGTTCGTGAAGGACAAACTATTGTATTTCAGAAGGGTAATGCACTAAAATCCGCACAGCCTCACCACNAATCCCTTTTGGAGGCGTAGTAAGAATACAAGGAGGGTGGCACATGACAGACAAGTGCAAAAACCTTCAAAACTAGCTTGCAACCCCCACTCACTGTCTAATGGGCTGCTAGCAAACTTTCAATTTTATGACCATTGAGACAAGATACACCTTCCTACTTGTCCGGTAGTCTCTTGTACATTGTCATTCAGTTCATTTTCACACAGAGACAGGTACTGATGTTACATTGTTGGACGTATAAAGGTTATAATTAAACATTACGAGTAAATTATCAACTACGAGTTTTCTTGTATATGTTTCTTTGATACTTGTCAAAAATGGCATTCTCTTGCTTTTTAAAACTGTAAAATATGTGACTTTAGGTAATTATACTGAAATTATTCCTAAATAATAAATACACGTAGAATTAAATTTCCTTGTATCAAACTCGAATGTATATTTCTATTTTGAAGTGCGGCCCTGGACTATTATTCATAGGGCTGAGGTGGCCCTCTGTACAAGTTGAGTTTGACATGCCTGCTCTAAAGTAACTGAGACGTATATACTGTGGATTTGATTCATCTCGCTCAGGATAGAGCCCAGTGGCAAACTCTTCTAAACACAATATAGAATTCTTAATTCCCAAAGAAGACGTACAGTTTCTTGTAGCTGAACGACTACCAGCTTCTCAAGGATGACGCTGCTTCATAGAGAGACTTAGATAGTAAGTCAAATTGGCCTACGAATTGCGTCAAAGTCAGTATCACTAGTGGTATATATATATATATATATCCGTATAATAAATCTTTGTAGGCCTCCATATAGAAACAACTGTTATGTGGTATGGACCCCAGAAGTAGTTGCAGTGCAAGGGACTTAGTCCCACCCCACTAGCAATAAAAAGAATAATATGTGGTATGGAACTTTATACTTCTCAGAATATAAAGAACACATAGCTGTATGTTGCCAATCCATTTTAAACAGAATGAATACAACTATAATTTCAGGAAGCTGGATGGGCATAAGTTTGGCGGAATGTTCAAGTTCTCTCAACCAGTGCTGATTGTTAGAGACCCTGAACTCATCAAGAACATACTCGTCAAGGACTTCACCAGTTTTCATGACAACGATGTGCATGTAAACATTGATACAGATCCTATGTTTGGACGCAACCCTTTCGTTTTGCGTGGTGAGAGGTAAGTTCATATAGGAGGCCTTGTTTCTTACTGAAATATTTGTATTAACTGACATGTCTGACAAATTTTCAATTCCGGTTTCATTTTAACCATTTAACTAGCTAACTAACAACAATTAGCAATTTTCACTGCGGAGCCAGTACTTATTCAGATGACCCCTAATACCTCACCTTTCATGAGCTCGATAGCCAAACTCACGTTTACGCGATGATGCCGAACAAGACGCGCCCTATGATAATTAGAATTCTTAATCCGAACTTCAGCTTAGAGCAACGTTACAAGAGGTGATCTGTGGACTATTTTGCACTTTGTTTGTCCACAGTATTTCTAGTATTTGGGAGCTGGGATGAAGACTGGCTACGGACTGGACGACCAAGGGGTCGAGTTCGAGTCCCTTAGAGTCACTTCTCTATATCGTCCAGACAGGATCTGGGGCCCACCCAACCTGCTATCAAACGGTTTTCTGGGGCTCTTTCCCCGGGGGTAAACCGGCAGGGGCGTGAAGTACACCAATCACCTCCAACTAGTGTCGAGGTCAAGAAAATGTGGATCTACACAACTACCTCCCCATACGACTTCATGGTGTAGTGCTTAATTAGTTAAGCACAGGGACAGATTTACCTTTACCTTATTTGTTGCATTGCCTGGCAGGTGGAAGATAACAAGATCGCAATTGAATCCTGCTTTCACAGCGGCAAAGCTGAAACCGCTGTTTCCTCTGGTCCTGGAGGTGTGTCAGGAACTTACAGAGTACATCGAAAAGAACGCACATACAGGTACGGCCACCGTCAGCATGAACGCCGCCAAAGAAATAAATAACTGATTCTTGGTTTATATAGCTACGATTTTACAGTTGATTAATTAATAGCATAAAGATATGATAAGTAAACGATCATGTTGAACGGATATGAGAGGAAGCGGTTTTGGCGGGATGTAAGGCATTCTCCTAACATGTCTAAAAGGGTTGAGGAAAGTCAGAAAACTTTATTCGGGACAGTAAGCTTTCGAGTCTGTATCTGAGACAAGAACATTCGAAATTTCAAGCAGGGGTGCAGACACTCGACTGCGATTATAGGCAATGAAGTCTTGTTAGGGTCTACACACACGAAGTTCTCTGTTGATGTGTTAACAGCCACAGGAGACTTTAAATCGTATGGTCGACACAGGAAGTGACATCATCAACTGAAACAACACGGTAACACGTGGTTCTCTGTTAGTGCTAGGTTCTAACCGTTACAGTTAGTCTTTTTGAACAACCTATAATCATATTCTTCGAATGCACAGAACAAGACATTGTTCCTTGAGGGAAACTACTTCTCTGAATCGAATCCAGTTTTTCGGCATGAAATAAATATGATATTTCGACAAATATATTAATTTAAAATTTAAAGGTTATTGTATTCTCGGATGTGATGGTATGTTGTTTTGTAGACAGGAACAACGTTAAGGAGGAACTTGCTACCTCCATTTTCAGGATAGAGGAAACAGCTTTCTCCCTAGACCTTTGATCTTTACTGAATGCTATCATTCTTTCATATCATTCGACGCTATAAAACGCAACAGTTGACACAGCGTTATTAAATAATTATTTAATAACATGTAAGACGTAGGGAATTTCTTGTCNCAACTATCGTTCAGTTAGACAAGAAATTCCCTACGTCTTACATGTTATTTAACGTATTCACAAAGTCCAACACTGGTCCTCAGTCAGAGCAAGATGAATATTACATGATATCAACTAAGCAATTAAAGCACATGGGACAGAACACTCGAAGAGCTCACAAATGGTCAAATGGAGAGACATAGCGGTGAGTCTCAAGTTCTAATTTCGAGCTCACAACATCCAATTACTGGAAGCTACTGGACACTCTTTCAAGCCCAAAGAGTCACACACTATTTCTTTAACGTTATCTTCCCACGCAACCACTGTTTTCCGAAGTAGTCCCCGTTTTCACTTCTGTACAATTTTTCTTGCTCTTCCCGGTTTTTCCATGTAGGATTCATGTACAATCCAAACGTTTTCCCCCTGATCTGATCAAGATAATACGGTCACGTATGAGGGGTTAGCGTGACTAATAATAATGGGTTCTGGATTAGATGAATAGATTTATTGGGCACTAACAAGTCGTGACTACAAATAATTATAAAACTCGAAAGATTGCTGTAACTATAACAGACAAAATAAATACTTCAATATCTGCTTGCTAGTCGTTGCTTGGTAACGAAACTTATCTGGTTAACACTTCACAGATGAATACTCAGCTACTGAGCTGCCTTCTGAATTCCCTTACGAATGAATCACGACTCTTTTACAACTTCCAGACGGCCCGAATATGTCACCATATCGAAGAGTTCCTCTGTTAGTCTGTTTATTATTTGCAGTGGGAACAGTCTTCCAAGCCGTTGCCCTGGAATCTATGTTTCCGGCTTGTTGTCAGGAAAACGTGTATTGGCGATCCGTTGTCTGGCAATGGACTATTCCGGCTTTCATGCCTTATGTCACCATATTCTGTGAATAGCACGGATTATGAAGTCTCTTATTATGTCATTTCAGGATGCTCTTTCTACTTCCTCTGTCTCGGATGTTTGTACTACTGTCGTCACTTTGTCGTGAAAGCCTTCAATCCATCATTTTTCCTTTGTGTGAGAGGCCATATATATAGTATACTGCAGAACTTGTAAAGTAAAGTACATAGCTGAGTACATTACCACAATCCCCATGATCAACTCTAACTCCTCTTACTCCTGAGAGCAACACAGAAAGTGTTGAATGTGAGACAAGGGCATACCGATAACAAAATGGTTCGTCGCTCACTGCTCTTGCTGTTTCCTGTCTCACGCTGCACGTGTAATGATATGCCATTCCACAGGTGAATTCGAAACCAAGGAACTATGCGCCAGGTTCACGACGAATGTTGTCGCCAGCTGTGCTTTCGGAATTCATGGAAATGCCATTTGGAATCCTGAAAGTGAATTCCGACGAATGGGTCGCGAAATGATCGAACCAGGTTTCTTACAAAACCTGAAGTTTACGACGCTATTTCTGATGCCACTGATTGCTGATATATTCAAGCTGAGGTAAGACAAGTGTTTATTTGGAGAGTACTATTTTCTGACACAAAACTCCGGGTAGTCCGTTAAAAGTCAACCGAAGTTTCGGCTCCTTAAAATTCTGGGAATTTCTTGACAATTTAAGAGACTATTTCTTATAGTCTTTTCTTCGTCTTCCATCAACCTCATTCGTAATGAAGACGGAGCCTGAAATATGTGCCGAAACATCAGGACAAATTCAACTG